AAAGCAGTTGGTCCATGTTATTCTAGATCCAGGCATGGAGCCTAATCTTTTTATGAAAACTACCATGAATACCACTTGTGAGTCTTGGGGCTCACATTGCAGCAGTATATGATTCTTTGCTTTTTTTCTCTTACCCCTAACACAGTAATAGACCTGGACCCACAGGAGCAGCAAGGCCGAAGGCAGTTTCTGTTCGACATGCTGAATGAACAAGATCCTGAGCAAGGACAGTAAGCATCTGCTTTCTACTTTGAAAGACAGGAGATACTGAGTCAGGAATTCAAAAGTTTAAGTTTGGTTTTGCGCTGATGCTGAAAAATTTTTTTTCTTTCTTCTAAGAACTAGATGCTGAATATTTTAATAACTTCTTTTGAGTTAATTTACTCTTAATGAATATCCTATGTACTTGAGTGTAATTTATGTTTGTGACTACCTAATCAATTACATAATCTTATAGGTTTATATTTATTTATTTATTTTTGAGACAGGGTCTTGCTCTGTTGCCCAGGCTAGAGTGCAATGGTTCAATCTCAGTGGCTCACTGCAACCTCTGCCTCCCCAGGCTCAAGCGATTCTTGTGCCTCTGCCTCCCAAGTAGCTGGGATTATAGACATGGGCCACAATGTCCAGCCAATTTTTTGTGTTTGTGGTAGAGACAGGTTTCACCATGTTGCCCATGACTGGTCTCGAACTCCTGAGCTCAAGCGATCTGCCCTCTTTGGCCTCCCAAAATGCTGGGATTACAGGCGTGAGCCACCGTGCCCAGCTCACATAATCTTACAGGTTTAGTTCATTTCTCATCCATGCCACCCTGATGGCCCCTTTTTTTGTGGCAGTAGTCTACTTGAACACTGACAATGCCCAAATGGAATGAACAAAAAGTGTTGACATTCTATTATTATTTGATTCATTTCTCTTTTTGAGACAGTCTCGCACTGTCACCAGGCTGGAATGCAGTGGCGCCATCCCTTCTCACTGCAACTTCCGTTTTCTGGTTTCAAGCAATTCTCCTGCCTCAGCCTCCTGAGTAGCTGGGACAACAGGCACGCACCATCATGCCTGGCTAATTTTTTGTACTTTTAGTTGAGATGCGGTTTCACCATGTTGGCCAGGATGGTCTCGATCTCTTGACCTGGTGATTTGCCCAACTCGGCATCCCAAAGTGCTGGGATTACAGGCGTGAGCCACTGCGCCCGGCCTGATTCATTTCTCATATACCAGTACTATTGCTAGTTTGCCCAAATATTATGCTTTTGTCATATTAATGTCGTATTTAGATTTTTTAAATGGTTTCTTTATAGGACTTTTTTTTAAAAAAAATACGGGGTCTTGCTCTGTTGCACAGGCTAAAGCTTAGTGGTACAATTTTGGTTCACTGCAATCTCAGCCTCCCGGGTTCAAGTGATTCTCTTGCCTCAGCCTCCTGAGTAGCTGGGATTTCAGGTGTGCACCACCACGCCCTGCTAGTTTTCGTATTTTTAGTAGAGACAGAGTTTTGCCATGTTGGCCAGGCTGGTCTTTAACTCCCAACCTCAGGTGATCCTCCCCCGCCTTAGCCTCCCAAAGTGTTGGGATTATAGATGTGAACTGCCACGTCTGGCCAACAGGAATTTTTTGATGTCGACATAAGTAAATTTTAGATGTCCCTTTAAGTTTTAGGAAAGCCAATTGTCCTTATTATTCCAATAATCTAAAGAAGGCCTTCTTTTAGCGTTTCTAGATAAAATGTGGGACATACAGTAAAAAAAAAAAAAATTATTTGGTCAGGTGTGGTCACACCTGTAATCCCAGCACTATGGGAGGCTGAGGCAGGCAGATCACTTGAGACCAGGAACTTGAGACCAGCCTGGCCAACATGATGAAACCCCATCTCTACTAAAAGTACAAAAAAATTAGCTGGGCATGGTGGCACATGCCTGTAATTCCAGATACTCAGGAGGCTGAGGCATGAGAACCATTTGAACTCGGGAAGAGGATGTTGCAGTGAGTTAAAATCATGCCACTGCACTCCAGCCTGGGTGACAAAGCAAGATTCTGCCTCTATATACACACACACAAATTATTTGTTGTTTAGCTGAAATTCAAATTTAAGTAGGTACATGGGGTTTTTGTTTTTGAAATCTGGCATCCATACCTTCTCTGCATGTCTGTGTGTAAGATAATATGGCACTGGTGTTTTTTGAGATGAAGTTTCGCTCTTGTTACCCAGGCTGGAGTGCAATGGCGCGATCTCGGCTCACTGCAACCTCCGCCTCCTGGGTTCAAGCAATTCTCCTGCCTCAGCCTCCCGAGTAGCTGGG